GCAACCCTCGGTGTTGCGCCTGCACCTCGCTCAGCCAGTGAGTGGCCGGTCTGTATGTGGGATCCGAACCCTCGGCGGGAGCGTCGCCGCGCTCTCAAGCGGCGCACTGTAGCAGTGCGCCACCGGGCCGGCCCCCCACTTAGGCCTTTCTGACCCCCAACATTCCAGGGCCCTTCCATAGGGTGGAGATGCTGGTAATTTGTGCCAGAGCTGTCCCAGGTAGGGACAGTGAAGAGAGGGAGGCAGAGTGTTCCAATCTGTTTGGCTTCTAGTTTGAGCAATGAAGTGAGGCCTGGGTACCCTGGCTCCTCAAGAGTCTGGGGTTCAGAGCAGTAGAGCCTGGATGGCCTTTACTTTCACAGCAGGCACAGAGTAGAACAGCAACCCTTCCTGGTTTTGCTGGCTGTAGAGAGAAAAATTTGCCCATGTTGCATGATGGACCCTGCTCTGTTTGCAGGGGGAGCCCAGGAGCTTTTCATCAGGCACTCAGCTAGAAGAGAGAACCCTGGGAGTCTCCTCTGTAGGGGGGTGGGGAGGTTCACCTGCTTCAGGTTTTGTCACTGAATTCTGCTGGATTGTACAGTACATTCTAATTTACCTGGAGATGGTTTGTGAATGGGGGGGGGAATAGAATGACAGAGAAAAGGTGAGAAGTAGACAAAGATAAATAAGACAGGGACTGTCCTTTGGGATTTTCAGGTCTAGACGGCAGACAGCTGAGGCAAACGTTACTTCCCATGGGAAGCACTGGGATGGCCTCTGCTCGGGGTGCTTCTCCACCTGAGGCCTCAGGGAGGCTCCTCTTCTTTAGAGCTAGGACTGTGGCTTCTTGGTGGGTGTGGCATTATCCACTCAATTCTCTTTGTTCTACTACTTGCTGATGCACTCGTAAGCCCGGCTCCTTCCGGCCTGTCGCTCTACGGTTCCCGCAGCTGTGCGCTTCAGCACCGGTGGCGCGGACAGCTCCGGAGCGCGAGGCTCAGGGATCTGATCTGCGGGATGTGAGCCTGGCAGGAGTCTCGCTCAAGCTTTTCAGAAACCATTTTGCAGTTGGATATGTTACATGAGAAAAAATATTCTGTTTAGGGGGGTATTGTGTATCTCTGAAGTGGCCTCTGTGTTGTGTCTCAGGAGTCCTGGTCCTGTCCTGGTACCCACCTGGCATGGCTGATGATAACGGGGAACCCTCAGATGACCTGGTGCCCGCCATTCTGGACACTGCCCATCAGCACGACATCCAGGTGAGTTTCCAAGAAGATGTCACGTGCTGTCTGCTCTATTTTGGAGCTTTGCCCTCCTCTGCCCACGGGGTTAGTGCCTCCACAGAAGTTCTTCCCAGTAGCTCAGGGATGGCACATATGTAGCAAGTGTGGTGTTCAGTGAGGGTTCTAATAAATAGTGCCTATGTCACTCTGATTTTCTTGAATTCTGAGAAGAATTGAGGAAATGAAATATAGGACAATGAGAAACTAAATAAATATGACTTTTATTAAATAATATTAGAAGATAGGTTGTAGATCCTGATTCTGATTAAAGGGTAGGCAAAAGCCAAGTAAACACGCAGACTGAACTCTGGACTCAACTTCCCAGTGGGAAGCAGTGCTGACCACAAGGAGTAGAGCACAACATGGGCTCTCAGCAGAGCTGAACTAAGCATGTCATTATTTTCCCCAGTTGTACCAATCAAGTCCGTCGTTGCCCGCTTCTGTAGTGAAGGAAGAATGACGGAGAGAAGCTCCACTCCCCATTCCTGAGTCCTTCACTGACTCGTTTAATCCAGCACATTTTTCCATCAATGCAGATTTAGCAGATTCTTCCCATTGTTTCAGGCAGCTACCGCCAATCACTTGGAGCTGGCACATAGGTTGAAATCTATTAGCCATACTGTGACAGTCCACAAAAATGATTCCCAGTTGGCTTGCTATGGGAGGTGGCAAACTCATCTCTCTTTTTTGGCCCTGAAGGGCAGTGGCTGCATTTATCCCTATTGTGCCCACCATTGCCAGGCCCTCTCCTGAACTCAGCCTCTCCTCCAGGCCATGGTTGGAGCATGAGTCTTACATGTCGTGGCCCCTGGACAGATATTCTCCTGACCAGTAACTCCTCTGTTTGTGGCAGGTGGCCTTCCACATCCAACCCTACAAGGGCCGGGATGACATCACTGTACATGACAACATCAAGTACATTATTGACACGTAAGGCTGCTCTGGGGGCTGGGATTTTGGTGGGGATCAAAATGGGGGTAGAGGTAGAAGGTTTGGAGGGACAGGTTAGGAGAAACAAGGGCAGCAAGCCTGTGTTCCCAGCTGTTCTGTTTTGTTATTTTTTTGGTGGCTTGGGGCTGGGATTTTGGTGGGGATCAAAATGGGGGTAGAGGTAGAAGGTTTGGAGGGACAGGTCAGGAGAAACAAGGGCAGCAAGCCTGTGTTCCCAGCTGTTCTGTTTTGTTATTTTTTTGGTGGCTGGCCAGTACAGGGATCTGAACCCTTGACCTTGGTGTTATCAGTGCCATGCTCTCCCAAGTGAGCTAACTGGCCAGCCACAGCACATGTTTTATAGTAAGAGTACTGACCTGGAGTCAGGCAATCTGGGTTTCAATTCCAGTTTCGTTGCCTCTAATCTGTGATCAGAGGCAAGCCTCTTAACCTTTGAGTCTTGTGAGAGTTACATGAGTTAATATATGTGAAAGTAGATTGTACAGTGTTTGGACATTTCATTCATTCAAAACTACTGCGTGCCTACATGTGTCAAGGCACTGTCCTAAGCCCAATTATACAGTAATGGGTAGGACTAGCAACGATTTTAATGATATGAAATCATTATCTGATTTTATAATGTTTAATTCTAGTGTGTTGGGGGTGCAGTGGAGCAGAAAGTAATTAAATGGCAAAAATCAAATAGATCCGTACTATGAAAAAATAATAATAAAGAATAAAGCAGAGTCTTGTGCTAGCGTGTGCCCAAGAAACTACTTTAGAATGGGTGGTGAACCTCTTTGAGGAGACACCATGTAAACTAACACCTAAATAACCAGTTCTGCAAAGATCTGGGGGCAGCCAGAAAATTTCAAGCAGAGGGCTGGCAGATGCAAAGGCTGTAAGATGGTACAAGCTTGGCATGACAGCAGAATAGAATGACCAGACAGGGAGTGGAGACTGATGGGGTAACAGCAGGGATGGAGGTAGGCAGGGCCAGATCAAGTAGGGGAGATAATGGATTATAGGGAGGCAGGAACTGAAGCCAGGAGACCACTTAAATGGCTATTGCCACCATCCAGATGAAAGATGGTGGTGACTTGGCTCAGGGTAGGGAAGTGAGGCTTAAGAATGACAAGGCTGGGAGAGGAGGGAAGGGAACCAGGTTCTTGCTTAGAAGCATGATGAGTCCAACTGTGCATTTTGGCTGGATCCTAAATGGTGCTGTGGCATCAAGAAAGAGCTCATCCATGGCTGGTCCTACAGCTGTGCTGGTCTCTTCCATCCAACTCAGGCTCTTCCTCCTCCTGTTCCTCAGGTATGGCTCTCATGGTGCATTTTACCACTATAAGAACAGCATGGGCAAGAGCCTCCCACTCTTTTATATCTACGACTCATACTTGACATCACCTGAGGCCTGGGCCCACCTCCTGACACCAAATGGGCCTCACTCAATCCGCAACACCCCCTATGATGGGGTCTTCATAGCGCTGCTGGTGGAGGAGGGCCACACACATGACATCCTGGCCGCTGGATTTGATGGCATGTACACCTACTTTGCCTCCAACGGTTTCTCCTTTGGCTCCTCGCATCAGAACTGGAAAGCTGTGAAGAACTTTTGTGATGCCAACAACCTCATGTTCATTCCCAGTGTGGGGCCTGGCTACATTGACACCAGCATACGGCCCTGGAACAACCACAATACGCGGAACAGAGTCAATGGCAAGTACTATGAGACAGCCCTGCAGGCGGCCTTGACAGTGAGGCCTGAGATTGTCTCCATCACCTCCTTCAATGAGTGGCACGAGGGCACCCAGATCGAGAAGGCCATTCCCAAGAAGACACCAACTCGCCTGTATTTGGACTACCTGCCCCATCAGCCCAGCCTGTACCTAGAGCTGACCCGCCGCTGGGCAGAACACTTCATCAAAGAGAAGGAGCAGTGGCTGATGTGATAAGCAGGCATGTGGTGCTGATGTCCCAGCATCAAAGGAAAATGTCACCATGTGGGGCTCAGCTGAGGTCTTGTCCCTAAGGCAGCAGATGGGTGCTTCTGGGTGAGCCTTTAGGCCTAGGCCCATGTAGAACAGAGCCCGTTCCTCAGGCAAGTGGCGCTGGGGTGCTCTGCAGTGATGGGAAGCTAGGCAGTGTTCCAGAAAACAATAGAAGCCGACAGGTGACTGGACCAAGCCCAGGGAAGCCCACAGCCTCAGAACACTTTCATGTAATCCCTTGTAGTTGAACTCTGTGGCAGGTTGGTGTTGTGTCATGGAGTCACCCTGTCACTGCTCTTGGAAGGGCATCAGGGTTCTGGGCTAGCATGCACGCTGCTCCCTTCTGCCAGCCTTTGTCCTTTCTTCAGGCTGTTCCCATATCATCTATCTTCTCTAAGTTAGGGAACCATATTTGAGACCTTCTAAAAGGGAACTTCTAGGTTTAAGCTCCTCCCAGTAGATTCCTGAACCCAATTATCAGGAAATTATCCTGAGCATTCACTCATTCGATACCCACTAACCGAGCACTTTACTATGTGCTAGGTGCTGGGGAAAACTTGACCAAGGAACAGTTCCTGTCCTCCTGAAGCTTACAGGATCCAGCTTTCCTTATTTGGTGTGGCCTTGTAGCTAGTGCCTGGGCAGTTATCAGTTTTTCTTTTTTACAGTTTCACCCCCTGCTGGGAGTTGTTCTTTTTCCTCTTTAAGAAAATACCTCTGTGCTCCAGAGCCTACCTTTTCCCAGGTGAACATTTAGCTCCAGGGAGAGGACTAAGGACACCCCTCCCTTTAGCTGCCTGAATTGAATGAGGCCCACTCACGAAAGCCATTTCTAGTGCTACTGTGATATTAAAGATGGAGTGGTATTCTCAAGTGAGCATTCCTTTTGCTCTCTTCAAGTCTTCTCAGAGTTTTTTGACAAATTGACATATTGGCTGGGCGGGCTATAGTTTCAGCACAATGAAGAGTTAGTTTGCTTAAGAAATTCCTATTAAACAGTATTTCTAGAGAATAATTAACCAGCCAGTGCTTATTTACAAATAAACTAATATGCTAATTGCCAGGACCCTCATTAAAGCAGGCTCTGGGGACACTTTCTTGGCAACATCCTTAGGACCTACTTGAAAATGTGTGCATTGGAAATCACTGTACTGAGAAGCTTATGGGCAAGACTGAATCGGACATTTTCTCTTTTTTTTCTGGTGGCTGGCCAGAACGGGGATCCGGACTTGTGACCTTGGTGTTACAAGGCTGCGCTCTAACCAACTGAGCAAACCAGCCAGGACCCAAGACTGAATTGGAATTCTCGGAACTGGGATGTAAGAGGGGAGAGGAGGAAGTGGACCCCAGCCCGTTAGGTAACTGATTTGAAACACCACTGGTTATATGAGCAGGCCTGGCTGCCTGGTTTGTGTCATAGTTGGGGAAACCAAGGCAGGCAGGGACAGTTGAAAGGGCTGGCTTTTGACCTGTAGCAATTTACAGAAGGTAGTAGCATTGAGGCTTCATTTCACACATAAACAATTTGAAAAATACTAAAAATATGGCAAGTCCAGGGGGCAGGGGCAGCGATTCTCACACACTGCTGACAGCTATATAAATTAATTCAGTTCTTTTGAAGGCTAATCTATATCAAGAGCCATAAACCATTCATACACTTTGACCTGGTAATCCTACCCTGAGGAAGCAATTCAAAAGAAAAAAAATAAACCATTTACAAATATGTTTAATAGCAGCATTTTTTTTATATGAAAGAAAAAGTTTAAATGCCCAACAACAATTATGTTTAGCACTTGGTATACATACGAATAAATATAAAAGGCTGCTGAGTACACACTGGGTTTAAATAAAGATGTTATAATTATAATTTATGAATAAATAAGAAAAAACTCACTGGCTGAAAAGGATAGTAGAAATTTACTTTCCAATATTTTTTAATCTGGATTCCCCCTACCTCTACCCTCTGCCAACTGAGCAGACTTCGCATTAGACCCAAATGACTACTCGCCCCTGTACACAATTACAGAACACCACACCACTAGCCTCACTGGTTCAGAGGAAACAGTGTTTGGCCTGTGACTCTACAATCTTTATCCTAACTTGAATCCAGCTTCAGGAGCCCAAACTCATGCCTTTAGTCCCCTAAGACTTTTTAACAGCACTGGCACTTCTGGCTGATTTGGACCTTAAACGTCACCACCCACCAGAAAGGAGGTTTTCACTAGACTGTTATTTAAATTTCTTTCCAATTGAGTGAGGGAGGGAGGGAGGAAAAGAGAGATAAGGGGAGAGAGAGGGAGGGAGAGAAGTCGAAGAGAAGAGAGAGAGAGCGGTGAGGGAGGGGGAGGGAAGAGAGAGAGGGAGAGAGGAGAAGAAAACTTACCAGAATAAGGCCACCTTAGGAATGTTCTTAACCTCTCTACCCATCTTTTGGCTGATACATGAAACTATCATAAAACAGATAACAAATATAACTTTTCCTCCAGGTGCGAAGATAAACCAGCAGCTTCTGAGACCTGGTCTAAGGTGTTTAGAAAGACACATTGCTTAATGGGTCAGGCTAGTGACACAGCTCAAGGGCCTCTACAAATGAAGCCTTGCCAGCCACCCACAAACAGACACATAGTATCCAGCACCAGTCCTTGGGTCCCCCCTCCTCCCTAGTTTCATGAGCAGGATCCATGTGAGGGGAGCAGCCCATACTTCTGTTGGAGGATGGTTGTAGTACTTTCCAGGGCACTGAGGAAGAAACAGAGGAGAGTGAGTCACAGTTCTCAAAGGCCTGAGCCCACCAGTCTGGTGACCGGGACCTCTAAATTTACTCATCTTATTATGCTCAGTTTATCAAACCCTTGATGAATCCTTTTGAATCCTAAAATAAGTTAGCAAACACCAGTAATTTTAGTCTCATTGCACTTACCACTTCTCCAAACCTGCCCACACTTCCTCAAGGCAAGATAGGAGTGACAACCTTCATTTTGTCAAAGTTTTTTTTGCATCCTCCCAACCTCCCTCAAATTCTACCCCCATGCCACATGAAAGAGACTTACCAGCCTGGACGAATGATGCAAAAAAAAAAAAAAAAAAAAAAAAAAAGATCCTTTAATTTGCATTCCTCCCCACCCCTACCCCCTGCCACCTGGGCAGCTTTCCCACTATTAGACCAAAAAGGTCACTCTCCCACCAGGCAATTCCAGTGCACAGTCAACCCCACTGGCTCCGAGGAAACAGTGTTTGGCCTGGTGATGTTTCTGGGGGAAAGACTGGGAAACTCTCACCGTGACATTCAGAGAACTGGCCTGGGAGCTGAGGTTGGCGCTGGTGAGAGCAAGAGGTCCCCCAAACATCTGGGCCAAGTCCTGCATGAAGGCATGGTCAGGAATCCGGATGCCTACAAGCTATGAGTTAAGGGGAAAGGGGATCATCAGAAAGGGTGGAAGGGGTAAGGAAGGGGTAAGGAATGGGTCTGGTCTGGATCCTAGTCAAAGCCAAGTGGCCAGAAGGAGTGTGGAGACACGAGAAAATGTGACTCACAGGAGTAAAGGGGTTCAGGTCCTTGTTGAGCTCCTCTGAGCGTTCCATCACCAGGGTCACTGGTCCTGGCAACAGGTCTTTCAGGAGCTCCTCGGGTACTCTCACATGGCAATACCTGAAAACAAAGGAGCACAAATCCATCCAAAATGAAGAGCCACTGGTAAAACTTTCCGACTCTAGACAGGTCCTTAGGGCCTACAATGGCATCCATCTGTCTTCCTGCTTCACCTCCCCAAGAGCTTGAGCAGAAAGAACGTGGGGCTCCAGATGAGCACCCCAGGCTTGGAGCCTACATGCCTCTGATCTCTGTGATACGGTGATAGCAGTATCAAGCTCCCTATTTTATTTTCTTCAAAGCACTCGCTACTAAATTAAGCTACCGCCTTTGTCTCCTTTTATCCCGTAGGCCTCTCCCCATTAGCACAAAAGCGGTAACAGTACAGGGCCCCTGACAGTCTTGTTCATCGCGGAGGCCCACCATCTAGTTCAAGGCCTGACGTACGTTGAGTGCTCGATACATATTTCCAGTTCCGGATTCCTTGGTGAGCCTGGACAAGCCCCTCCTGCTCTCTGCGCCTCAGTCTCCCAAGCCTGTCACCGGAAACCCCTCCCGCGGTGCCGCCCCCAGTGGGGCCGGGTCGGGGCAGCCTCACCTGTAGACGTCGGCCACGCGGCCCAGGCAAACAGCCAGCGGCTTAGCCTCGCTGCGGCCCTTGAGGCGGTACACAGCGTCCAGTGCCGCTGAGCAGCTCGCTGAGCAGGCCAGGCCGTACAGCGTATCGGTGGGGACGGCCACCACGGCGCCA